TTAATCATTGAGTATGTCTATACATAATTAGCTGATTTTCTGCTTTCAAACTTTATGTCACTTGTTAGTTTCCTCTTCAATTTTTCTACCCCTTTTGCTTAGAATGATTACATTTGCAGGGATGTACTTTGAGAACATTAGTTGAAAAAATCAAGTGTGGGGATAAGTCTGACTTTTCATTTTTTAAACACTGAAGTCTAAAGTAAACTGGGGAGTGGTGTGGCTTTTCTGTGCTGCACTGTTGTCTGGGCTTAGTCTACCTTTGCAGGTAATTAATTCCCCAGCCTACTTATTTTTTCTAGTTGGCTCTTGTTTAGCTCACAGAGCCCCACCCCAATGTGCTTTACTGTCCCTCTGCTGACTATTCCTACATATGGTCAAAATCAACTTACCTTCCGGGTTGCTGACATCGGCAAATTCACTGTTTGGCAAACTCCACTCTGCTCCCAGTAACCCCTTTGTTTAAGAGTGGTATTACAACAGAGTATATCTGATACCTAACAAGGCTGTCCAATCTCTTCCACTCCTAGATGTACTCCTAAGGAGAAACTCTTTGTGTGTTTAGATTTACAGCCACAGGCAGGATATTAGCACTCCCAGACCTGTTGGGTACTAGAGCACTGCTAATGAGCAAACAGCCCTGCCTCAATTAGTGGTTTGTGAAATATTCCTGGATATCAAATTGCTTCTGCTGCTTGATAATCACACTGGCTCTTGGGATGAAAAGCAACCAAGTAAAAATTGTTCCCTTGTTGAGCACTGCCTTGTTGATATAAGTTATATCTGCAGATAGATTTTACTTTCGCCATTTCCCCAGAGCTGAAGTTTGGTTTACATGTATAAACGGATTGATGTTTGTATTTTCTCTTGTGAATATTTTCCATAGTATTTAGATTAGCAGCTTTTGAAACTGTTTCTATAATAATTATATAAGCCAGTTTATTTTAAAAACAAATTAAGAAATAAATATGGATACAAAATTGTAAACCGCTATACTGCTAATTTTCTTAGGCATAGATGTTCCTTTTAGGGGGAAAGGAGAAAAAGAAGATGGAGAGGGAGATAGGCAGACAGACACTGGGAGAATGTTTCATCCAGATCACAACTTCTAGTTTGACTCTTTCAAAATTCTTTTCTTCTTAATTATCGAGTAACTTCAGATTGCAATGTTAACCCCAGAAACTGAAAAGAAAGCTTTAGTATAAGTATACAGCTTGCTTGGGAAGAAAAAGGTAGAAAAGGGAAAGGAATTCAAGATTTGTTATTATTGGTATTTGAATACATTTATTGTGACAAGAATGCTGTTATAAATATTCATAAGCAAAGGCCATCTTTTTTCATCTAGGAATTGTTAAAGTGAAGATTTCAAATTGGATGGATACATCTTTTGTAAAAATTTGCAACAAGCTCCTGTTTTGAGAATAAGCATCTATTGTTAAATTCTACTAACATTATAAATGGTCACAGCACATGCCACTTGATACAATTCCAAACTTTCCAACTGTTTGACTTCCCGGTGGGCTGCTCCCCTTCAGCCAACCCCCACTTCTTCTTCCAGCCTCCTGAAATACCACACTACCACAAACCAGTTTGGTAAGCAATTCTGTACAGACAGCTTGGGAAAGGAAGAGTACAACCTGATGATAGCATCAGGTGCATTTATTCCTAAAGTCTAACAAAGAGCAGTTTTTATTGCTTGATAGCAAGAAGCGCTATGGGTGATTTTCATTGACACTCAAGTCTTTCAACTCCACCTAGATACCTTTATCTATAGATAATGCAGAAAAGAGGTTGGGGGATACTTTTCAACATTTTATTGTATTTTCTTAAATATCCTTTCTGGAATTTTCAGAAACAAAACATAAAAAAATTATATACTTTATTACAAATGGTAAACTCAGAGTGCTCCAAATCTCTTATTTACAAACAACACTGGGCAGGACACCCAAACAAACAAACATGAAATAACTTACAAAGGCAGGAAGCTGTTTATTGACAGTAATCAGCTTTCATCAAATTAAAAAAAAAGTATATATGTACATACACAGTTGAAGGCAGGCCCCAAAGAGTTCATCTGTAGGCTAGGCCTTCCTTGCCCTCTCAAACCTCCCTCCCGCCTCCCCTGCCCAACCCTCCCCGCTTTGTGTTCTTAAGGAGTACTACAGAAGCAATCTACAGTCTCTATTGCAGTTTGTAAACCCCCGCCCCCCTTTTAATACTGAATGAGATTGAATGTTAGGTCCATGCAGTTCTTGGTCAATGTTAAAGAAAAGTCTATCGTTCTGTTTGCGCTGGGACAGCCCGTTCGCAAAGCGGGGCAGCCCGCAGGCGGGCCCGCTCCCTGGCTTCACGCCAAGAGAAGGCGCGCCAAGTCCTTCCCACTCGTGCACACTGGGGGCGCCGTCAGGACGCAACCCAGTCCAACTTGGATACCCTTGGCTTTAGTCCTCGGACACTTCTTTTTTTCTCTCTGTCGCAACCTGTCAAGTTCTCAAGTCTGTTTCTTCTTGTTTTTTTTTTTTTTCTCCGTTGCCCCTCAGCCCCGACAGTCTCTCCTCAAAACGTTTGCAACTGCTGCGTTAGCATGAGTTGGCACCCGCTGTTAACGTGGTTCATGACTTTCTGTTTTAGTTGTGCCACCTGTTCCCTGAGCATGTTGGCCGTGGACGCCAGCTCCGAGTTCTGCGCTTTCAAGGTTTTCACTTTTTCCTCCAGCCTGGCGATCCTCTCCAGCTTCCTTTTCCGGCACTTCGAGGCGGCAATGCGGTTCCTCATGCGCTTCCTCTCAGCCTTGATACGCTCCTGGGACTCCATATCGATGGGAGACAGGGGCGGCGTCTCGCCGGGCATCTCGGGCACGGTCTGCGGTTCCTCCTTCAGGGCCTGCAGCCGCGGGTGCTGCACCGAGATCTGCTGGGGCAGGTGGTGTGGCGGCTGCGGTGGCGGCTGCTGCTGCTGGGGCTGAGCGGGAAAGCCCAGGCCGGCCGTGCCGTAGGAGGGCGCCCCGCCGCCGCTGCTCAGCGCGCCCGGGTTGAAGTTGCTGAGGTTAGCGTAGACCGGTGGCTCGCTATGCAGGCTGGCGCTGAAGCCACCGTTGCCGCTGCCGCCCGCCACTGAGGCCACCGCGGGAGCCACCATGCCCGCCCCGCTGACCGGCTGTGCCGCCGACGTGACGCTGGGCAGTGTGTTCTGGCTATGCAGCTCGGCCAGGGCGCGCACGAAGCCCTCGGCGAAGCCCTCCTGTTCGTCAGTCACATTCTTGGGGCACAGAAACTGGGTGGGGGTCGGCGTGGTAGTGATGTGCCCATTGCTGGACTGGATGATCAGGCGCTCCAGCTCCGGTGACGCCAGCTTGAGCAGCCCTACATCGGGAGAAGTGAGAAGGTCCGAATTCTTGGCGCGGAGGTGCGGCTTCAGGCTGCCCACCGGGTCGGCTAGGTTCAGGGTCATGCTCTGTTTCAGGATTTTGGGGTTACTGTAGCCGTAGGCACCGCTTTCGGACTGAAGGAACGAGGCGTTGAGGGCATCATCGTAGAAGGTCGTTTCCATCTTTGCAGTCATAGAACAGTCCGTCACTTCACGTGGGGTTTGTTTGAGCTGTGCGCAGAAGTTTCGGGGTCGCAACAGCGCGCTGGCAAGCAGGGGACACCCGCGCCTCCCCAGCCTTTAGCAAAGAAAGTTTCTCTAAGAGCGCGCGCCCCCGCTGGCTGATCTCCCCCCAGCGCCCTCTTTCCCAGCTCGCTCCAGGGAGCGCAGGGTTAAGACGCCGCCAGCACTCTTACTCCTCCGATCGCGGATCGCGCGCGCTGCCCGGCTTTAAAAAGTCGCGGTCACTCACTGAGCGCTCTTTGGGCGCAGCTGTACCTCGGAGCCAGGTGATGAACTCGCCTCCCGGGGCAACGGCTCTCCGGCGGCTCTGGGCAGCACCGATCCCACAGTGACGGCGGGTGGTGGCCGCCCGAACTCAGATGTCTGTCCCCTCCTCCGCTGCGAGGGGGAGGGGGACGCCCGGCAGCCGCGACTCGCGCTCGCCCAAGTTCAGCAACCAGTGCTAGCAAAGCTGAGCGCAGGTCTCTCCTCTCGCCGCTGCCTTCTTTTCTTTACCGTCGCCGCGGCAGCCTACGGCGCAGGGTGGGTTTGCAAAAGTTCGTTCCGGGACCCGGGGCCACAAGTCCCTGGTCCACAAGGCCGGGAAAGTTGCTTGCTGCTGCTGCTGCCGCTCGCTGACTTCCCCGCGCGGACAGTCGCCGCTCTCGGCGGTTGTCAGCAGTGCCCAGACAGCGGGGCTCTCCTCCCGGGGGCGGCAGGAAAAGGGGATCTCCAGGCGCTCCCCAAAACACCAGCCCGGGCGCCACAGGCACTAGCTCTAGGCTGTTGGTGAGAAAAGAACCAGATTTGCAGCTCAGACTCCACTGCCGTCCTCCTGGCTGGCTGAGTGTCTGTCTCCCTCAGTCCGCACCTCCACTCCCGCCTTGCCGCTTCAGCTACACTCAGTGCAACTCTGAGCCCTTATCCAGCCCGAGCTCAACACTTATCTGCTACCAGTCAACCCCTAAAAATAGCCCATGATGTCACCCCAAGGCCTTCCCATTGGCTCGCGTCGCTCTCAAGGGGGCGGGCCCGCCCGTCGCCATGGAGACCCCACCCTAGAAGATTCTTCTCCGGGCCCGCGGAGGCTCACGGGATGAGGTAATGCTCCGCTGCCCTCCTACAGTTGGGCCCTTCTTTCTCCTCCTCTCTCCTTCCCCCTCCCGCGCTCCTCCGGCCGTCTCTTCCCGGGTCCCCGCCCGGCGCGTCTTTCCCGGCCCGCCCGGTGCATTGTGGGCTGACGTCTTGGGGTTTGACTGTCTAGTGACGGTGACTGCTGCGAGCCGGTGCACGCTCGCAGTGTCAGACCCAGGCAAGCTCAAGTTCAGGGCTCAGGAGCGGGATGCGGGGACCTGGAAGGCTAGGGATGCGGGCCAGTCTTCTGGGGCAGAGTGCGCAGACGGGGAATGGAGTTATCTGCCCACGTGGGGGGCTCGGAGTCGGCACGGCCAGGAGGCTGGGCGCTGGAGCCCGTGCCCCCCCCCACCCCCCCGCACTTCCGGGGGGCGGGAGCACCGCCCTTAAGGTGGCTCTGTGAGGTCCCGGAGCTGGCGAAGGAAAGTGGGCTTAAGTTTGGGGACGGTCTTGAGAGTCGGTTCCCTATGTTGAGAACGTTCGGAAGTTTGTCTCTTGTTCAAGTTCAGGGGTCCGCACGGCTGTGTGGCTGCGCCGCAGAAGCCAAGCTATTTCATTGCTGGATACGGATTTAGCTGAGTCCCCTGCACCCTACTTCACCCTCCCGGAACGTGTGGGAAAGCGTGCAGAGGATTCAGCTTTGCTTCCCAGGGCGGTCTTTTTAGGGGTGGAATTAGGGTGCAACTCAGCGTCTAGATGGGAATGAGCATTCCGGAAATCAGAAATTCAGGGAACCGAGAGTTCGCCTGCGCCCGACTCCCGCCCCCGCGCAACGTGCGCACCTCCCCACCCCCAGCACACACTATAGCACTCCTTCCGCCCTGATTTGCCTCTGGGAAAACAAGCCGGAGAGCTGGGGGCAGTCTCCCAAAATCACGCCGCGGAGAACTGGGTGTCTGGAATAGAAGCGTGCTTATATCTCTCCACTCCCTGTCTGGTGGTGGGCCCATATTCTGTGCAGCCTCTAGGAAGCGCTAGACCCATGTAAGTGGTTTCTTTTCTGCGGTTAGGATCTTACCCCTGCCCCCCACCCTTATGGACCAGAGTATATGGTGGAAATACTGAAGTCGGGAATCGTGGTTCTCTCTTGGACAGGCCCCCACGGTGTGAAGTGCGCAAATCACGGAACTTCTCTGAGCTTTCATTTGCCTCATCAGCAAGTGGGACTGGAGAGATCCTCCGCTTTGGTCTGCCAGGAGTTAGTAGCATTGTTGCCTTCAGGGAAGTGGTCACTAAACAGCCCCTTCCCTACCCTTTCTTAGAGTTTCCCAGAGCCCCTACTAGTGTGATTAGGGGAACCAGTTGTATTTTCCAGTGAGGAGCAGGAGGGGAGGAAAAGGTTGGCAGTCAGCTTTTCCCCAAGCCTTCCAACTGAGTCTGGGGTTTGACGTATGTCCTATAGCAGTTTAATTTCCTGGGTTATGATTGGAACTTTGCTGCTGCTGAACTTGGGGGAATTCATCCGTGGGTTTGTAGACCAGGGCCTTAAGGTATCTGTGGCTTTTGTGATTTCAGAAACCAACAGCAGCTGGTATCAGTGGGAAGTCGTCCAACTTTTCTTCACTCCAGGCACTAACCTCCCTGTCACTCCTGGAGGAGAGGATAACTGGCTACTACCAGCCAGGCACTGAGTTGGGGTGGGGGTGGGGTAATGATACCAGTGATGACAGGATCCAGTTACTTCCCCCAAGGAAGAACATTATCTGTGGCCTGAATCATTATCTGCTAATCAGGGAGCTGATGTTCTATATAATGTTTTATAATAAAACGAAGTTTCATGCACCTAACACCCACAATCCACCAGGTTTTCTAAACAATGTATACCATTGTCTTCTTACAACCATTTTGAGAAGCATATATAATTATCCAGACCAAACCTGAGGAAATAGTCCCAGAAATATTGAGTGTCTTGCTCAGGTCACACAGGCAGCTGGAAATTGATCTCAGATTTGTGTTGCATTCCCTTGTATTTTCTCCTTTCCTGCAAACTTTCTTGTGAAGTATTAGTTTTGTGCAGAGGAAAGAGTGCTTGGGAGATGGAAGAAATGTTTTTTTTCCTGAGCCTCTGATTGTAACTCCTATCAGAGCTCTAGTATGTAGAAGCCTAATCTCAGGACCTGGTAAATAATATATATATATATATATATATATATATATATTTTTTTTTTTTTTTTTTTTTTTTTTTGCCTAAGGGTTCTTTGTGTTCATCTCTGCCTTATGTGGTGTAGCAGGCCGATTTTCGTCTTGTGTAGAGAAATAGCATATTTCACCCCAAAATTAACAGCTCTGATCATGGCAATGTCTCTGTCTGGAGGCCTTCATTGGCCTCCTCTTTTTTACCAGGAGAGATTTCCACTCCTTTGCCCAGAAGGGGCCAGTTCAGCACCTCCTCTTTCTATCCTCCCTTGTCCCTCCCAGTTCCCTGTCAGGAAAAGCTGAGTTCTTCTGTCCTAATGAGCAACCCTAGCATGGGTTGAAATTTCCTGCTCCAGCTTCATCCCCACTGTCCTAATGAGCAACCCTAGCATGGGTTGAAATTTCCTGCTCCAGTTTCATCCCCACTGTGGGTCTTCGGGGAAGCTCTGCTCACTGTGGTCACTTAAGGACTGTTGTTGAGGAGGCTTCATGTTGACAAGGCGCTTCTCAACTACCTTGAATGGGGGAGAGTACTTAGCCAATCACGGACTGGGCCTGGGTACATCACTTCTGCTCATGTACCACTGACCAAAGCAAATCATGTGGCCCTGCCAACTTTAAGACTCTGTGACCATGCCAAGTGTCTGAAAAGGAGTGTCTCTCCAGGAGTACTTGAGGAAACTAAGGACTCTTACAGTCTCCATTTCTGTTCACCAAATGTTTGGTTCACTCTTGCCTCAACCACAGTATTTGTTCACCCTTTCCTCAAGGGTGTCAGCCCTGAAGACCCTTCCAGTCACAATATCAGCTCATTTTCCAGATTTTCTGGATGATGTGTAGTAGAGTCTGCCTCGGGTCCAGATGTGTCTCTGCTTCATCAGAAGGAAAGATACCTCCCCTGCATTTATTCTGGGACAGTCATAGAATCTCCATTTGGAAAGGGAAGGAATTGGAGGTCACAGTAGATGCTGGCCCACTGAGCAGATATTTTGAAGGTCCCCTCAACCCAGTACCCCAATTAAACCCTGGCTCTGTTTCCTAAGTATAGCCCTCATCTGTTGTTTTCTGTGACTCCTGGATTTGCCTCTCATAGTCTGCCTTATCTACATTAGATGTATCTTAGGGAATATACTTTAAGCCTTTAAGGAATTGAGGGATGGATGGATGTAGGTGATGTCAAATTTTGAAGATGGCCTCCTGTAATACAGGCTGCTATTCTTTGGTAGGAACATTTCTCTCAAATATGTAGACTTCTTGTCTACTGGACACCAGGCATGCCATATGCCAATAGCTGCAGCCACAGTTCTTTTCTAAACAGACTCCTATGGTTTGCAATTTTTCTTTGCTTCCTTGCTCTCTTGCCTGCAGATCCCTGTCTCTGTCTCTCACACTCTTGCCTTCAGCTTGGTTTTGAGTGCTTTAATCTTATTGGGCACTGGTGGGGGAGCTGTCAGACCTCTTCTCCTCCCTTTTTCAGAGCCATTTTGTCCAGTTGGAAGCAGACACTAAGTTACATCCTGATTTATCCTATGGTTTTAGCATTAGGTTCACACCCCTTGACTTGATCCTTGTTCCAGAGCTGATCTTCTTCAAGGTCCTTTTTTTGGTGGAAAACATTTCTTGATTTTATAGTTTGGATTGAGAAACGATTACCTCTTCTAACCTTACAAATCCCTGAATCTGTAGGTTATCTCTACTCTTTTTCATTCCTGCTCACTGAGTGGCCAGATCTTTTCTGAGCTCATCTCTTTGGGAAGTTATTTAGGATAATTTCCCAAATGCATCCAGCAGCCACCAATACATGCTGCTAACATTGTTTTATACTTTCTTGCTTTAGTTCAGTAGGTTGGTGACTTTCCTTCTACATTATCACAGATGATGGATTTACCAAATAGATCACTATCCTTTCAGCTTCTGATAACAGTGTTCTTACGTTTTTGCCAGCTGATGAATATTGAGTAGTTGACGTGTTTATTATTGTTATTACATTACCCTTTGTCTAGGTGCCAGCTTTTTTTAAAAAAATATTTTGGTTTTAGTTGTAGTTGGACACAATACCTTTATTTTATTTATTTATTTATTTTTATGTGATACTAAAGATCGAACCCAGCACCTCACACATGCTAGGCCAGCGCTTTACCACTGAGCCACAACCCCAGCCCCTGTCTAGGTGCCAACTTTTGTATCAGCCAGGAGCAGGTAGGTTATGCGCGGTAACAAAAAAATCCTAAAATCAGTGGCTTAACACCGAAACTTTATTTTTTGCTCATACTATATGTTTGAGGTCAAAGGGACTCTGCTCACTGTGCTCACTCAGAATCCTGTGCTGAAGATTTCATCCTGATGTTTCCACAGTGAATTCAGTCACCCTGGCAGGAAAAGAAAGCATAGCAAATTCACGTTGACTCTAAACCCTTCCTTCCAGGAATGAAACACATTATTCTGTTTATTGGCCCAGACCAGTCACATGAACATGCCTTCAAGGTATAGGAAAGTACAACCCTACTGTGTGTGTCTAGAAGTCAGAGAGATGGAAAAAGCATACCTCTGTCTAGACTAGGTGATGCTTTGATAGCCATCCACAAATCTGGATTACAGCCTGAATTGTTTCTCACTTGTACTGCATGTCTGTCATAAGTCAGCTGTGTTTGTACTTTTACCCCCATCTTTGCCCCAGACCCTGACTAATAAAGCATCTTTTCTCTAAAACATCACTGGTGGTTGTGGCAGAGAGAAAAGAGCATGGCTTCTAAAGCTTCTGCTGAGAGCAGTTTACATGGCCAAGCCTGATGTCAGTGGGGAGGGACAGGGAGTATTTGTGAATGGTAATGCAGTCCACCACACCCTGTACTCCACATTCCCTCCATTCCTTTGAGTCTCAACTACTCCAAACATTTTCCATTCCTCTAGCATTTTCTTCTTTCCATTTACTTTTTTTTTTTTTTTTTTTTTGTCCTTAAGCAAAATGTGAACTGGCGAACTCCTATTCACTCTTCAAGACCCAGCTCAAATAATCATTCATTCTGAAGTTTCTTCTACCCTATTCTCCCACCTAGCCCTCAAAGTTATCTTCTTTGGCTCTCACCACACTGGGTACACATCTGAAGGAGAGGATGTCAATCACATGAATTTGTAAATGCCTTCTTTAGTCCCTGACTCCAAATTCAGAAAATGTGTCCTACTTATTTTGTATTACCAATGCTTAATAAGGAACTGGGCACATGCAGCCAGAGAAGGTGCTTAATGAATGGTTGTTGAGGATTTTTTTTTAAAAGCCTTTTCCATGGTGGAATTAAGGGGGTGTTTTAATAGTCACATCAAAAATGGTACCTTGTTTTATTACATAATATATGGAACATGTGAAACCCCCTAGCTAAAATGTTAGTCTGAAGCAGCTAGTACTTCTTCCCTTACTTTGTTTTCTCCAGCCACACTGGCTATGGCTAGATCAGTGAGGATCGCCTAAATTATGATAAAATTATGTAAAAAACAGTTCCCAGATTTGGGGACTTATGATAAAAAACAAACAGAAGGAGGGTGAGAATGGTGTTTCTTGCTTCTGCTACATATCTATCAAGGTTGGGAAGGTCTCTGTGCCATGTTCCTCTGGGATCCAGACTAATGGAGCACCCACTTTTGGTAAGGTAACAGATCTCATGGTAGAGGAAAAGAGAGCTTTAAAGGGTCTTACCTGGGCCATTAAGTGTCTTTGTTTTAAATGGCCACATGTCACTTCTCACAATTAATTGGCTAAACCTAGTCCTCAGCCCCTCCCAGCCACAAGGGGCCAAGAAATGCAATCCTATTTGCCTGGAAGGCAGAGATCTGGAAGTATTTGGTGACCATTCTAAAGACTCCCACACTGGCTTTTCTTGGTTCCCCAAACATGACAAACTATCTGTTGCCTCAGAACCCTTATATGAGTCCTTCCCCTCTTCCCTATTCTTCCGCTGATTTCTTTCATTGAATTTAGCATAAGTGGTACTTACAGAGATTGCCTGTGACTTCCATACTCCTACCTGAATTAGATTTCCCCTTTTACATTCTCTCAAAAGTACCTATATATTTTTCTTTGTAGTTATTTGGATTTGAGGGTAGGTAATGAATAACACCCCTTTCAGTTAAGAATCAGCTGAAAGTTTGACACAGGGATCCTCAGATAATGGGGGTCATGATGTTATTTTGACAGTTAATATAGACTGTATTGGAGATCATGGCAGACATGAAGCCACAATGGGTTTCCTGATGCTTCACCCCTGAATTAAACTAACCTAATTGTTCCTGGCAGAGATGGGCAGCTGCAGGTTGCTTCCAAAGGGGCAATTCATGTAAACCTCCTTTGGGTGAATTAACTGTGAAAGAGAGCAAGAGGTAGGCTGAGGTAGGCTTGCTGGGGCTCCTCTTCTGAAGCAAGACAGTAACTCACTCTCCTTCCCAGGGGGAGTAAGTAGGTCTGAAAGACCTGCTTACAAATGTCCCTAACAAATGTCTCCTCACAGAAAACTGAGGCTAGGGAAATGGCAGTTTCCTCTTAGCAATAGAATTAAATATGTTATTATGTATTTCTTTGTATGATTGTGTATTTTTTAACTTTTTGTTTAAGGTGTCTTTCACCAACCAGAGGCCAAGCATCAAGAAGGCAGAAGAAAGTATCTCTTGGTCTTCACTGAGTCTACAGCATCTAGCATGGCCCAGAGAGTGTGCTCAGTCAATCTGGGTTATTCATCAGAGGTTTTGGTCAAGGAGAAGTACAGAACTGTACATCACCCTTATGGGCATGCCTAGACTGCACTCAAAATTTCCACAAAACTTTCAGGATCATAAAGTAGCCAGAGTCCTTCTGGGTGATCTTCCAAGACCTGTCCTTCTCCCAGTGAAGGACCTCCTTTGGCAGCATCTTGGCTACTTAAATATTGTAGCCACAGAGTGAGGACATGATGCCCAGAGAGCAGTAGTACTAATCCTACTTAGTGCTGCTGGCTGGACACCTGCAGGAATACTGTGGGTATGAAACTTGGAGAGCAATTTTGGCCAACCATAGAGATCTGAAGGTAGGATGGCAACACCATAAGAGACCTGAAACCATGCTCCATGGGAAAGAACGGAAAGAACTGGGATTATTCAGGTGGGCATGGGGTAGGGATGGTGGGGACAAGACAGAACATATAGGAGTCTCCAAATAGGGGGAGTTGACTTTACTCTGTAGGCTTTGAGGTCAGAGCTAGAGTAATGGTTAGACGTTAGAGAAGACAGCTGCTATATTTAAGGAAGAACTTTGTGAAATTAGTTATTTATCAATAGGACAATTACTTTAACTGTAGAATTGAAGTCCCTCCACTCAACACATATTTATTGTTTTCTATGTTCCAGACACTCTGTAAGGTTAGTTTATGATAATTCCTCGCAAGCACATAGTACTTGTGGTATTCATCACTTATTTTCACAGTTCATAAAAGCCATCTTAAGTAGTCTCATTTAGAATTTGGAGTTTGTCTCCAACATTAGTGGTTTCTCAATTCTAGAGTTACACATTTTTACTCACAAAATTTGTAAACTGCATTGATGTTTTCTCATGTCCAATGTTAGTTATATGGACATTCTTCTATCAAAACAAGTGTTTTCAGTATCATAAATCAAAATTACCTAGACTTTATCCACTGTCTTTATTGCTTCCATATTTGTTTTAAACTTTTCTGCAATAAACATGTACGTGAGGATCACTTGGGAAGATGAGATACTCCCTTACTGTTCTGGTAGAAGAACTATAAAGTATCCACCAAGCCCCTGCCCTTTGTGCCTTGGTACACAGCTAGACTGCATTTCCTGGCTCCTTTGTAAGTAGGTGTTCCTGAGTTTTAAACATTGCAAAGAGGGTCAATAGGATGTGCGTCACAGGCCTGGTTCATAAAACCATCTCTCCCTATCTCCTGATAAGGGACTCCAAGGTCATACACAGGGATACAACCACAGAGAGAAGGAGCCTGAATCTCTGAAAGAAGGTCGTCTGAAACCCAGAAATCGGGTTTGGGCTTGGATGAGAAATCAACTTTATTATGTTGATGGATTGAGATTTGGGATATTTGTTAGAGCTGCCAATGTCATCTTACTGCCGTTGGTGCTGCAGGATAACCTCAGTGAGGGATCACAGATCCAAAGTAGGGGTTTTGTCCCAGTTTGAAGAGAATTAATGGAGAAGACAGAGTAAAGCAGATGGCACTTAATTGCATATGGAGGCTTCCTTTTGCTAATATTTTCTTCCCATCTAATTTATAAACTTCATGAGGCATGTTAGCATGTCTTATGTCCTCTGCTGTATTTCATCGTAGAGTATTTACTGAGAAATGCCTGGTGCTTTGGGGTTTTCAGAAAGAATCCAGAGAGCACATACTGTTAAACATTCATTAATTCAACAGTGTGTGAGTATTTACCATAGGCCAGCCTCTGGTGATCATGGTAAACAGGAACTACAGGCCTGCCTACAAGTTGACAGATAGCAAGGAAAGTGGGTAACCAGGAGGTAAGACTAGTCTGATAATGCCGTGACGTGACAGAGAGGAACAGGATTCTCTGCCTGCACATGGCATCTAACAAGGGTAGAGACCAGAGAATTGTTGTTCAGAAGGTGGTGAAAGTTTTAAACTGAGACTTCCAGGATGGATAGAAGCACCCAGAAGAAGTGGAGGTGGTGCAGAGAAAAAGAATAATCTAAGAAGAGTCAGGACATACAACAAGGCCTGGTGTTAACGAATGTAGGGCATGTTTGGAGGGACAAAAGGGAAGCAAGAAAGGAAGAGTGAGGATGAGCATCAGAGGAGGGCTTTGTGGTTTATGTACACATGTACTGAAATGCACCTGGAGGCCTTGCACTATGTACAAACATCATACACTAAGATGTGTATGCATGTTCTTAGGAAATAGGACTGGGTAGCCATCAAGATGTCAATGAATGGGCTGGGGTTGTGGCTCAGTGGTAGAGCACTTGCCTCACATATGTGAGGCACTGGGTTTGAATCTCAGCACTGCATATAAAAAAATAAAATAAAGGTCCATCAACAACTAAAAAAAAATTCTTAAGAAATGTCAATGACTGCTATTTGGGTAAATTCCACTGTCCTATTTGTTTTAAACTTTTCTGCAATAAACCTGTACACTCGCAATTTTAAAAAAATCAAAATGCCTTTTTGTTGTTGTTTTTAAATCTTCTTGTGACTACTGTAGCTGCTGTCCCTCACTGGAGTCTCACAGCCATCCTCTGAACATGCTGAAATTCAGAGTTGATTCACAGCAAAGCTGCAACTAGACTTCCTATGGTCCTTTTCAGTCCCTGCTCCATGGTACCTGCACAATTCTGAGAAGGGATGATGACTTTTCTAGGAACCACAGACATTGGTGAGGTGTTACATGTCAGTGTATATGTTGTTGGCAACCTGGAGAAACTGGGTCAAAGTTTTCATGATGCTGACCTATCTGAGAGGCTGACCCCAACACAGAGGATGGTTCTGAACTTACTGGTTTGTGAAAATTTATCTTTTTGTGATTCCGTCTTGTCCTTTGCCTAGTGATGTGGCAGATGGGGAGGGGGGCTGTTGATAATTTGCTAAAATGAAGTTAGGGAGTTGATTGTTGCTAATTACTCTATCAACTTACATCTTTATCTAGCATATTGGTGCTTGGCCAAACCAGTGGTGATGAGTATTTGCATTAAATACTCAAATTCCTGAAGGTCTGGAAAGACCACATTAGTATTCTTTAAATCATGATGTGGCATTGAACAATCACCCAAATCTCAGAGGCTTGAAACAATATAAGTTTATTTTATAGGTGTTACAGGTCCATCTGGATTCAGGTTTGAGCTCTTTACTGCAAAACCCAGGCCAAAGGAGCCTGTCTGGAATATTGCTGGTGCATGTCACAAAAAAAGTGATAACACTATGGGGTAGCTCCTAAGATCACAGATCACTTCACCTTTCATTGTCCACAGACCACTTTCATTCACCTTTTATTGGCTAAGGTTTATTGCAAAGCCAAATGTGAGACATGGAGGGCTTGCTAGGGAGGGAAGGCAAATGTTCTGACAAACACCTCAGCTCTCTGAGTCTCGGGTTCTTTAAAATGAAAAGAAGTAAAATAAATACATGACAGAATATTCAAACCATGGAACATTATGCAGCCATTCTAAAAGATGAGTTAATTGTCTATAAAGAAATGACCTGGAGGGATCCCCAGGATATAGCATTAAGTGAAGAAAGTTTTAGAGTGAAGTACATAGTATGGGCTCCTTTTTGGATGAATTTTAAAAACACTTTGAGAGTATTTGTGTGAGACCGTTAATAAAAACAGCTTATGTTTAATGAGTGCTTCGTAGTCACTGCTAAGTGTTTTTATATGCATTTGCTTACTTAATCCCTGGAAAAACCAGAGGAGTAGAAAGCACCAAAGGGCTATTACCAGCTACTTTAGTTGGAGGCAGGATTAGAGACATTTTATTCACTTTGAAACTTAGATCATTTCTGTAAATTCGTGTTTGTCACAACAGGTGAAGCAAACCACAAAGTCTGAGTGCCATCCAGTACCAAGCACTTTATCTTCTGCTCATTGGCCCTCAGTTGAGGTGGTTCACCCTTCCTTAGGCCCCAGTCAGTCTTCTGTACTCCCTGTTGCACATAACACCACTGCAGTTTTCTAAGTAATGACAGTGGCTTTTCCTGGAACTACCTACTTTGGTGTCTTGTTGCACGTATACAGTTTGCAGCCTAGAGAGGGTCAAATACAGGGCCATCCCCTGCATCTCATTCTAGAACCCGAGCTGGAGAGGCAGAATCTACTAGGGACATATTCTTCTCAGGAAACAGTTTAGGGTAAATGAGAGCACACAAAGGTTTTTAAGGCCCAGACATGGAACTGGTGTGTTGCCATTTCTGCCCACCCTCTGTGGGCTGAAATGATTCACGTGGCCAAATTCAATGTCGGAGGAGTTGGGAAGTCATGGAGGGAGGTTGCAGAAGGAGGAAGTAAATAGTTGCTGTAGAGTAACCTACCACAATAAGCACGGATTGCTTTCTTAGTTAAAAAGAAATGCAAACTAATAAGATGAAGAAAAGAGAATATTGACCAAGACTAGTTTAAATTGTGTGCAATACAATAACGTGTCCAAAGTCACATTATGCATTTCTTAAAAATAAAACCCCCATATCTACAATTATAGTGAGCACAGTGGTGTTAACAAGGACATTTAATTAACTAGAGTAACTCATTGCCTGGTTGGGCAATTGAGAGTTTACACTAGCTTGACTTATGCTGCTTGTGATGTGACATTAATAATAAGCATAATTCAGGGGCTGTTTAATGGCTCTCTGTGTATATTACTGCTACTTGTGTGGCCGAGTGCAATCCAAGCAACCAAAGTCATGAAATCACAGGCTTTCAGAACTGGAAGGGCTTTGGTGCCCGTGGTAGGCAGGTGCCTCCTAACTTGGCTGCTTTTGCCAGTTGTAGTCATTCTCAACTAGGAGTGTCTCACATTGCTGGAAAATGGTTCTGGAAATCAAAGCTTCTTCATTTAACCAGTGGGAACACTGAGGTCCCCAGCCATGACTTACTTGAGTGTCAGGAAGTTAGTGGTCAAAGATGGAATGGAAAGTCAGATGTCTTGAGTGGGCCCAGAGCCTTTTATTTTGTTTCTCTGTACGACCCAAACCTTAAGCATGTAGATCACTTGGAAACATTCACCAGGCTCTGAAAACTTGCATGACTCTAATGCTGCTGTTTCTACATCTACAGCTTCCTCTAGCATGAAAGAACCCAAGCACTTCTTAGAGTAGCTACCTCAGAATCCTATGAAGAAACCACTGACACAGAATGTATCATGTTAAATTCCCTAAAACACTGTTCAGGGAAACAGGCCTGTTCTAATGTCCTTTCTTTTCTAAGTAATGTAGAAAATATCTGCCAGTATAACTTACAAGAATCAATCATTCACATGCAAAATGTTTTATTAAGTATTTATTAAGAATAAAAGTCCCATTTCTCAAGTTTCTGACATTTACCTATCACTTTTTTCAGTTTTACATGTCCACTTACATGTAAAATTAATTAATGTTTTCTTCTAAATAATTCACTTCTTTAAAACTCTAAAAAGATGTTTATAGATTATAAATAGATATTGTTGGATTGGATTGGATCCTGTGGTAAGTAGAAAACAAGTATTAATTGCCATAGACATTTAGTTAAAGAAAATATTAGTAGAAAACTATTAAAATAAGTATTGATTTGTCGATGTACCATTGAATGTTGGTCCTTATTCTATAAGTGGCAGGCATCTTCCACTGATTATGGTAGACAAGTATGGGCTTTGGAATCAGATGGACTTCAGTTCAAATCTTAACTCATTCCCTTTGTGGTGGTATAAGATAATTTCCTTAAGTGGTTTAGCATAGTTTCTCATCTGTAAAATGAAATAATAAAACTATCTCCCACCTATGTGTATGTGTGTGTGTGTGTTCAAAAACATCTATCGTCATTCTAGCTCATAGTAGGTGCTCAAAACATTTAATTATCTTCTTTTCTCCTCAGTATTCTTTTTTTTTAAAAAAAAAACACTTTTCAAAATGACACACATGAATTGTATTATCAGAAAGATAAATAATCCAGAGA